AAAAAAAAAAAAAAAAAAAAAAAAAAAAAAATCCGAACATACTATTAACTGTTTTGAACGCAATCCATGATCAAATATCAAATTTTCTAGCTTGGGTTCTACATTGGACTTCCTGTGTCTTTACAGGAAGGAACCATAGGGTGCCCAATAATATTGTTTTAAAGAACTTCATGGGACGCCATATTTGAATTCTATAGGAAAACGAAGGCGTGCAAAAAAAAATATTTTACTGATTTTTGCTTGATTTTTTCATTTGCTTGTATTGTTTGGTACACTTCCTTGGTCTCGAAAAGAAAAGATTCGATGGATGAGATTTTTTCCAAATATYATTATTCTCTTTCGCTGTATCTCAATTGGGCTACCTGTGGAGAAAACTATACTCGTTTCAAAGCGTGGAAATCAAGAGTTTCTCCAGTCATGGATGCAGAAATGGGTTCATTTTATTTTCATCTATATTCTACTTCAYGACATCTTGATTTTAACGCAGAGAGCCAACATATCAAGAATAGAAATCGCGCTACATTTTTTGCTTATTAACATTTGATTTTATTTAAAAATACATTGTGTTTTAAGTTAACGTATTATTATATCATTCGCGGTGGATGGAAATAAAATTTACAATTTTAGCTTGTTCGGAATCTTGCCTCGTCTTCTTTGTTTTCGTACCATGGAAGGTTAAATTCGTCTTTCTAGAACACAAAACACATTAGAAAATGTTTAGCAAGCTATCAATTATCCAAGATAAAAGATGATAATGATAATGATGATGGTGATGATGATGATGATGATGATGACGATTCTTTGATGATAATGATGATTGTGGTGGTGAAAGATATGTAAGTCCTGTTGATATAAAAGGTTAAACCATGACAAGAAATATAATGGAAATCCTCAACCAGGCGACAAAACTGAAAAAAAAACATTCAAATCGCTCTGTCACTCGCTCTTATTACAGAAGAGCAAGTGACAACAGAGCTCGCTGAATTTCGAGTTGACCCTTGTAGTAAAGTAAAACACTCGTTTTTTCACACGAAAGTACGATTAATAGGAGTTGAACTGGCATTTTATTTACAATCACTGTCATTTCAAAATCATCTACCTGTCATAGTCAAAATTTCCCTTAATTTCGACATATAGCTATCGTGCTGGGCCTTGTAAAGAAAATAGATTCCCATCCATACGTCAATGACGCGGCATTGAATGTGACGAAAATAGACTAGGATTACGATGTAGACCGTTTTGATATTGCCGTACGATACACTGAGCTGGCCTATTTTAAACAGATATCATCGGCTTTTTCCAATTCATGTTAGCATTGACGTGTAATGAACTTTAATATCAAGAAAAACAACATCAYTATCAAAGGCACACGATATAGTTCTTCGATTTTATCACGAAGGATTTCTAGCGCAACACAATCCAGTCTGATTCATCCAGACATTTGAATGCATTTTTACAAAAAACAAAACCAACATTTTATRAGATTAGTTACAAAAGGCTTTTCCGATAGTGGTGAACGGATATTAAAGACATGTTTAATTAATGCAGTAYAATTCATCATATTTCCTTTAGAAAGTAAGTCAATATTGTCTGTATGGTCGCAGTACTAAATATTCATTGTCGTGAACGAATTGTGCAGAAAACCTACGTTAATAGTGCTACAAAGATAAATATTCTTTGAAAAAAAAAATGTCATTCACCATCAGATTTTAATCAATCGAGGTTAATTACTTTGAAGTTGCTTTAAACCGCACTAATTCTGAGTGTCTCAGTAAACTAAATGGCTGTAATTGATTTTGCTGAAATCTTTCCCTTCACTAAAATAAATTTAATACATTAAATTGTATGTATATTTGTAGTTTGTTGTTGAAAATTTAGGCGTCAAATCTCAGCGCACAACAAAGTTAAACATTCCTCGATATATGTAATCAAATTTACATCGAACTTACAGATTATTTAGAGTAGCAACGTATTCTGCATCWTTTTAATCCTCTAKGAATCCTAAAACAGTCAAATAARAATTTGCAAGTAGAAATAGATTTTTCCCAATCAATTGAATGTATTTCCTGAATTTTATGGCGTGAGATTTACGCACTGTGTTCTCTWACTGAAAACTTGCCATCAAGTAATRAMCGTTTTTTGAGCTGYTTTMCCCWTAGCATTTTYAGTGATGTASTGTAGTCCATGTGTCGACGGAGGTAGAACCTGATTTATTTAAGTTTGGTGATTTTACTATGAATACTTCTAAGCATTTTTTATTTATAGTTCTTATTCATCATGATTTTGGATTATCAAGACARAAGGTCATGATTCGGCTTAAACTTCCAACACAAAGAATCATTTTTTCTTTCCATTTCGAAGCCGTTGTTAATTCATTACTTCCTGATTCTCGCGATGATTGCGCGCTTCTTCTACCAACAAATCAAACTAATAGAAAGCCTTGGTTCAAATATATATCAATGATTCTAGTCACTAAACCGCTTCTTTGATTAACGTAATATGTACAGTAATGATTTAAAAGACCACAATCGTACCTTCATTTGAAGTAATAAGCTTAAATCGATAAGGCGCGAACATTAAAACACATTTTGATAACGAGTCATTTTATTGGAATTTTTATATTTTTTCGTTTCAATTTATATTTTTACACCAATTGTTRATTATTGTTAATAGTAATATGATTTATTCCTGTTGTAAAGCACTGTCAGCATATGTAAATAGCGATTTAGAAGTCATTAAATTATTATTATTAACATTATTAAGAGAATTAATAGACTTTATACTGACGATACGTCCAGCAAATAAGAGAGTATTCATTATCGTTACTGATAGTGGTCGCCTAATCAGGCGGATTAGCACCTGATGGATTTGGAAAGCTCAGCTAGCATTTGATGTCAGCTAGACCGCCGACTTGACAATGCAAGAGATTAATCCTCCATCAAGATAGCAAAAATGGAAGACATTTACAGAGCTATTTAAGTAGTCACGAAGAACATTACCGGGGACGTGATAGCAGTAATGGTTGTCGGATRTAACTTCGTTGGCATGTGTGCCGTGTGGGGATATGTGGGAGCTTATCACCAGCTGTCCAGTGGCGGATCCAGGATTTTTCTAAGGGGGGTTCCGTTTCTTAAGTGAAACTGTGTATAATTCTCTTTTGTTTAGTCGATGTTTGACAAAAAAATTGGCTCTAATCACCTAATTTACTATCTAGTAACGGACCAAGCTATAATAACACGACCCAACGCAAACCTACTAATATTTTTTTATTAAAATTTATATAAGACATATTCCTATTACCTAAAAGATCAAACCTTCAAGGGGGTTCCGTGGACCCCTTCGACCCCCACTGGATCCGCCACTGCTGTCTGATGTTAAACATAATTTTACGGAATTATAAAATCTCGTATCTTTATCAATAGATTCTACCATATCCTTTTACACGTGTTTTCGTGATATTCCTGGCTAATCCCTCACYGATCGCGTCACTGATCCACGATTACATTATTTCTCCATCTTATCATGAAAGGAAATTCAAGTGCGATTTTTTTTAAGTAAGTCGTTAGAGGTTACCTGTCTCAGTACAGGAGCTGTTTAAACTCTCTAAATTAAAGCGGATTTTTGATTTTCGATTCATTATAACAATAACATTGATCTAACTTAAATCATGGTTTAGAAAACTTTTAAAAAAAATTTTTATCCTAAAATATCATGTTCTTAGTCCGAGTTGTGACGAAACAACGGATCTAGATTTTTCGGTCGTTTTTTATTTTCTTCTACTGTAATTGAATTAATAAATGTTTTTCAGTAACACTTCGAACTTCTTGAAATTTSACAATCAGCTGCATGATTCATAAGTCAGTTTTGTCAATAAAAAATTGAGTGCCTTTSAGAAGCACTTTTCCTGTCGTTTGAACTGGTAAATCTTGTTCAATGTTCGTCGAAGACTCACTGAACAACAAGACGACGAAAGACTTATCCTTATGTAAATAATAACGGTTTTTCCTAAGTTTGCTGATCGGGTTCTTTTTTATTTATACTTTGATAATTTCTTTGTTTTACTTTCTATAGATAATGTAAATTTTAAATTTTTTTTCTAATTTCGTATTCAATCTTTTTTACAAGTTTTACTCAAATTTACACTCGGTAGTTTTTCCCTCTTCAAAATTAATTATGCCTTCTGTTTCTGTTATTTCCAGGCGAAGAACTTTCCCAGAGGTAGAAAAAAATACTGTTCTTTTGTTTTTACTTTCAAAAATTTATTTATTTTGATTAACAGAACACACTTATAATTTAGTACTTACGTCATTATTCCTAAACATTTCTGCGCTACTCTTCCAAGAAACATCCTGATTCTTTCCATCTAGTAACTAAAGAGACGCTGTCGTTTTCAAAAAGCATTGCGACTTATCATAGTGACTCTGTTCTTGATCATTTCGTATTTTATAACGGTAATGGAAGCTTTAAAATTGTCTATTGCGCGGTCGATTAAAAGCTGTACTTACAGTGTCTTCATCCGTTCTTTTTAAAGACGGTTTTTGAAGGAGAAAACAATCGAATGTATTTAAAATTCATTCAAAAATCATTTCTTTTAATCTAAAACTTAGAATTACTCYATTTCTTAGCCAAAAGGACGCGTGTTTTGTGTTAATCATCAAGATTATAGATATAATCGAAAACTATACTGATTCACGCGTGTGACACGAACAATGCTTGACAACGGTATTTTCGCACAGTGTGGTTCTACTTTTCGSGGTTTCCCAGGAAATTCCTTCTGTGAAGAACACTAAAGAAAGCTTTATTTCCTCTGTATCTTTACAGATCTTGGATATATTAAAAATGTAACGCTTGGAAACGCTTTCTTATGAATTTACTAATAATTTATTTGAAGGCTTTTTTCCTTTTATGGAAGTTTCTAAAAGATAACTTTCGCTTGTTTTTTTAATTGTATATTTATTTATTCATTTAATTGTTTTATTAAGAAAACGTCACTATTATCTGCATCCACATTCTGTAATTTAAGATTAGCTTTAAGAAAAAACTGATAAAAATAACAAAAAAAAATATGATGATATGAATAAATAAATGAATATACGAATGTTAAAACCTAGTTACTAACGAAGTCCTACCTCTTAATCATTAATTCATATTTCTACGCAAGTTTCCTTTCTACTTTTATTAAATATACAAAACTCAAAGTAGTACATTGCATTTGTTTTTGTTTTGAGACCCAATATGCCCCCATATTGTCGTCAGACCATGGTTCTTTTCTTCACCAAACATTCATTTCCTGCACACCTGTTTTCAACTCGCCAAAAAGTGTTTTGAAAACATTTATCATTTACCTCAAAAAATCCTTTCCCAAATTATAAAAGTTTTCTTAATGCCATAAATATTTAACTATGTTTTGTACAATCTAATACGGTCAGCCTTTACCGTTATATTGATTTTCTTTTTCTTTTTCTTTTTTGTGTGTGTCGATAGGTTTATTTAAAAAAAAGTTGTTTTGACTTCCTTGCTGAATATTTTTACGGTAAATAACGTTTGTGTCGGTCTTTCCTTTCTTTACATAAAGTAGAATGACAGCTTTCAAGAGTTCGAATAATTTAAGAATTTTACTTAGGTATTTTGCTTCGGGGTGAATGTGGTAAATAATAGAGTAGTATATTGAATTAGAAGATGTTATCTTCATTTTTATCCTTCCTAATGATTTCCTAAATTAAAATCTACAAAAGAACAATGAAATTAAGGTCTAACAAGCGAAACGTTTTTGTTATTTGTGTTGAAAATTGAGATTAACGAAAGAGTAAACAAAGAATAACGAAAATTGATGAAGACGTTGAAAATTTCTGTACCTTTAAATTTGTGTCGGAGTCTTTGTGAAATTCCCTACGCCCTGAAAACCATTGACGCCACGCTGAAACGCCGGGCGTTTCATCCGGAGTTGGTGGTCGACGCTTCATTCTCAGTGCTCCACYATGAACGCCTGCAAAGCACCAGTTCATCCCAACAACTAATGTTAGAAAAAGCCCCATATAATGGCAGTAAGTTTGAAGTTTCATTTYTGTGGAATTTGGTTCGTTGTGTTGTTGAGGAACGAGGTATTCGAATGACTGGACGCGCCGATGATTCTGTCTGAAGTTACGAGAGGTTTCAGCTACTTATATTGAACAAGGCGACCAACCGATGGGGTTGAAATTAACGGAAATCCGGCCTCTGATAGGTTTGTAATCGTTTCTTGGCCTTATCAAAGCTGATAGCTGATTGGTGGACCTGGCTTTATTATCATAGCTAATCGACTGAAAACTGCCTTGGTGCGTTATTTATTATTCCAATTCTGTTTTCTTTATTCCCTTTTTTTTATTCCTTTCATGTATACATCCAAAGCTGTAGCAATAATATATACACCACAGTTTATGCATATTTGGCTAACCAGAACAAATATCAGTAAAGGAAGTAGATCATATATTGGTGAAGTTTTTTTACAATAAAACTCTACAGAAATTTCGAGTAGTTTTTGAAATCTTTAAAAACCAAATATATCCTTTATACTTTACTCGTGTGACTTTTCAAAGATTTAGATAAAATTTTTCATTTAAACTCACTCCGTAAAACTTGAATAGTCAGTAAGTTTGAAGTTCAAAAYCGCCCAAAATGTTCTACCAGAAGTTTACTTTAATCCACAACTTGGGTGCAAAAGATTTTTCTTACATCATTGAATTAAAAATACATTTTGCTCACGGTGTTTTGCTTGTGAGCTTGTCTTTTCATTTATATATCTTTACTGAGTTATCTTCTAGTTAAACCACTTTAAAACTCGTAAATATGCCCTAAKCATCTTCCATAAAACGGAAACATCCGCGCTATAAGCAATTATTCATGGTCAAAAGCGATAAACTTTGACATATTGTCGACTTTCAAGTTTCCAAAAAATTGGTTTTCATAGCCGGGTGATTCTCACAGATCACAACAATTTCATTTTCTGATATTTTATGTCAAACCCAYTCTTAAATCAAGCCGTAGTGACTACATGTTAATGGTTTTGTACCAGCAAATTATGGATGATTTTTACAGAATTACTGATAGCGTGTTTGTATTTTCTGGTTTGACCAACTCGCGATCGACACCAACTTGATGCCAGAACGAAAATGGGAAAGGTATTTTTGATTGGTACCCTTGCCTGATGTTTCTTTACGAAAAACGCTTTATAACTTCGTCCTCTTAAGATAATTATTATAATTTACCGCCCTTTTGTTCAATGAATTACGTTCTAATTTGGTGTTATTTTCATAGATTATAGAATGTTACATTATAATAAGAGGATGTCCCATGCACGTGTTTGTAAGTTTCATGAACCAAAACAATTTTATAAACCAAAATTAAAACGCCGTGGAATAAACTGGAAAAAAAAAAAAAACAATTAAAAAAAACCCAAGGTATTTTATAAAAAAGTTAATAAGTTTCTTGGCAACAAAACAATTTGTTTTTTCAGTGTGACACAAATGAACATAATGAACATTGTCTCACTAAAGAAACGCTAAAAAAGTGACTTCGTAATTAGCCATTCCTTTATCTGTTTTTATCTAAGTTGACGACGTGTTTCGCTGCAGGTGAAGGAATAGATAGCCTTTTTCTGTCTCCAGTCATATTTCTGTTCATATCTGATMTTTTTATCTTATGTTATATTGTGCTTTAACATGAGTTAAATAGATTTATGTGACCTATAACTACTGGCTTAATAAATCATCACAGTCGAATTGCTCTTTATGTGTTCTTCCATTTCGGCAACAACACAAGATGGTATAATTGAGATAAGAGTGTTTTAATAAATGGTGCACAGCTGTATTAGTGAGTAGGGCAATTACCACGCTGAAATAGTACAGTGTTATTAATTCTGTACCACTGGTTGATCACAAGAAGGAGGAGTAGAAGAAGAAGGAGGAGAAGAAGAAGAAGAAGAAGAAGAAGAAGAAGAAGATGCGAAACAAGAACAAGTAGTGAATTCTTAGCTTGTACAATAAAGAAAATATAACCGTTAAAAAAGTAGATCAAGAACAAGAACCGGAAATTAAGAAGAATGAGAAGTCGAAGGTGAATTCGAAGACGACTGAAGACGAAGAAGAACAAAGGAAATGATGGGGAAGAATGAGAAAGAAGAGGAAGAAGACTAGAAAAAAGAAGAGAAGAAAAGAAGAAAAAGAAGAGAAGGACCCAAAAAGGAGGCGAAAAGAGAAAAAATAAATTAAGAAGAGAAAAGAGCCGGAAAAGAAAACAAAAACTCTTTTAATAATGCAAAACTGAAAAAACAAAACGCATAAGTTTCCCTTTTGTCCTTTTTATTTCATTCTGAAGTGAAATAAATCATCAGTCAAGCACTTATTTATAAAATACGATCTCCTTTCATAAACACTTTCAATTGATCTGTATATGTGGTGGGCTRTTGCCTTTGCCCGATAACCCTATACAAACGTATACCACGCGCGATCCTTGGTGAGACTCTTTCTCTTGAGAGTAAAAATAAATAAATATTGAAATATTGGCCCACGACACGACGAGATAGCCAAAAGTTATATTTAGAATCAACTGTACTTCAGCATTATTCAAATCAAGCTATTTTGGGGCTAGAATTCACTCCTCGACGCAATGCATTTTTGAGATGCTTTTCTACTGTTTAGCTGAACATAATTTCAACCGGGTTTAATTTAATTAATCGAAAAATAAGGAAGCTGAGGGATGAGTTTGTCTCCTCATTTTGACAAGTTTAGCCYATCACTAAAAATTCTTCAAAATTCTGTCTTCTGAAAAAAAAACTTTTGCGTAATTAGAAATGTGAAGTATTCAATATTTTTCCTGTAGACAAGGGTTTCTTTTTTCAATAAAATACAGCTGTTGTTTGGTACTATCTAATCCTATAAGAATGCYCATAAATGAATATCACCTCTCACAATGTCTATAGGAAAACACAGCAGGGGAGTAGAAAACCTATGTAATGTAAAGAGAACAAGGGCGCCGACATGTGGATAAGAAGGAGGATTTCCAAATGGGTGTCCAATATCTTGCCAATTAGACTATACGATAAATGAATCTTATGAACAAGGTACTAACTATAATATTGAGATAATATAGTTGTATTTGACAAAACATCGATCGGTTTTCAGACTGATCACTCAGATACGATTGATAACTTAAATAATTAAATAATTTGTTTATATATAAGGGGGAAAAGACTATTCGTGGACATTAAGAAAAATATTAAACAGCTTCGCTTTGAAGATAGCYAGCAAAAAACCGAAGTGGCTGGTCTTTAGGCACTTCAAAACTGACCTCTTGGCTTCTAATTGGGCAGCCAGTCACGTACCTAAAAAATTAGGAAATTAAGATAAGGGTATTGAAATGGGAAGTCAAGGACTAAATTTTGCGATTACATGAAAATAAAACCCTTAAAAATAAAAAAATTGAGTCCAATTCAAAATTGAATTAGTTGCATGAATTTCTTAAAATTAAATTGGGCGTTTCACTTTGTCTTCGTGGTTCAAAGTTAAAAGCAATGTAAAATATTTCTTTAGTTTTTTCTATTCTTCATTGTTTATAAAATGGTCCCGAAGCTTGAGAATATTTTTCAAGTTGTTAAACACGGATGCTATCAACGGGTTTGTTATACTTCAACAAGCTAAGAATCAGGTGAATCACGTCCTTGGTKAAAGATCCCGACTCTTTTTCTCATGTCAGTCATTAAGGATTTGCCCTTTGTTATATTGAGAATAAAAGTGACCTTTCTTTTGGATAATTTAATGTTTGTCTTAAAGAAAAGGCAATTTTCAAGGCGCCATATTTATTTTAACTCCAAACTGTTTTGCTTGTTTTAGTCGCTATGATCACGGGGTCATAATTCAAACATGGCGAACTCCATAACAGCTGCTTTCTTAATAATTCTCATACTCTTGCAATGGGAGCCGTTATACGGAAGGACAGAGTATCTAAGAGATAATTTTAAAAGCTCCAAGGCTTATGGAAAAAACGGGAAAATTACAAAACGTTGGGAAAAGGATCCTAGCCATAAATTAAACACAGAAAGCTGTCGCACCTGCCAAGATAGCGTCGAAAAGGTTTGGTTTTGAAAGCAATATGTTTTAGCTTGTTCAGTGTTGATTTGTGAAAAACAAATACGCAAAAACCATCTTTTCTGGGACATGAAGTGTATTTATGTCCGTTTGAATTCACGGATCAGTAATCGATAGGACCATTACGCTTAAGTTTTGGCAAATAATTGCAAAGTACTGAAGCTGAATTCAGTAAATATTGAAAGACAGTCGCTCGACCGTATTAGCTCAGCTCTACTTAAAACAAAACAAGGAAAGATGCCCGCTTCAACTCGACTGAAAACGTACTTCCGTTACCTGATCTTAGGGCCCATTTAAAGCGTCTTTAAAAATCTTATTTATCTCAACTTTTAAGAGCCTAGATAGACAACCCAAGATTCTATTAAGAGTCATAGTCCTCAAAATGGCTTATATTGAAGAATTTTTTTCTCTTTGAAAACAGGTGTTTATATAATGTTAATTCATAAGAAGACTGAACTTAAATTAAAAGAAGTAATTTCCGGGAGCATTTAGAAGTCTCATCTTTAATATAAATATGAAATGCTGAAGATTTCTTCAGTTAAATCTGATTTTTATTTATTTTTTATGTTCTAAGTTATATATATATAATTCACTGCCCCAAAGTTTTGTAATAATTACTTAAATTTAGTCATAATAGCTTGCTGAAGGAACGAATGTTGTTGTAGGAATACCACCATCTTATTCAAATGATAACCCACTGAAATGCAATTCGAACACAGACCGAAAAGCATCACTGAAAAACGTTGAAAAACTCAGCTTTTCAAAACTAGAAATCCCCATCTCGGCCATCGTGATGTAGTAGTTGATATTTCTTTCTAGCTCCATCTTGTCTCTCTCGAGCTCCCGTGACCGCGTGCCTTTAGGATTCTGAAGTGCTAGACATAGCATTCAATGAGTAATTGAAATCATACACAACTTTTCTGCTCTTRCCAATTAAACGGCAAGATAACGATAGCTTCTGGCAATAGAAATTGTTTAATATACTATGCTAGCATCAGCTTTAACTAAGCCTGCGCATGCGTACAGCCAAACCTTTCTTTCGTATCGTCCGTGGGAGAAAAGTCGGTCCGGTTGCACGCAGACTACCTTTTATTAACTCTGCAAAATTTAAAGCTCCCATAAAATAAAGCTTTTTGAATCCCACCAAAGCCTTTTATCTGTCTAGCTAATTGTGAGCTAATATCAAATTCAATCTCGTACCCAGAGCCTTTATTTCTTACTGCGCATGCTCGACGAAATAAATAGGCTCTGAAAAACTCCAGTATTTCCGACCTCGTGATTGGTTCTCAAGAAAACAAAGGATGACTCCGGAAGTAAAAATTACTTCGATGCAAAATGGCGATTCCGAGCACAAAAACTTGTATGAAGAAATATCATGACAGCAGCTAGTATTTGGCGATTCAATGTTATTCATTTTGAGTAAAATAAATTGCATTATAGTTTAATTTGAATGTAAATATATTTAAGTCAAAACTCAAGAAGTTAAAGGAATACAATTCGAAAAACACCCAGATTTGTGCAAAATGTCCGTATCGTGTATGTATGCGAAACAAATTGTGCTAAAGTTATCTTTAATACTATGTAGTATATCATTGCCATTTCCCCTGTTTGTCACTAATTAGTCATTACACATTAGTGCTTATTAAAGCTGTTTAAGTTTGAAAGAAGAAGAGCGCTATTCACGTTATCTTAGATCTTAAGGCCGTCCTTAATCGGCCTATAGCACGAACATTCGACCATTAATCCATTAACTTTGGGATTTTATTAGTTCTTCCTGTCGTTATCGTTTATTATGTTGCTGCTTATTTATGAACCGACTGATGTTTGGGCATACATATATATATAATGATAAATTATCTACTTCGAGTAAATTCAGATCGATATTAACACCTTAATAGTACGTCGGGCGCACATAATCATTTGTAGTTATCAATAAAAAGTGCTGAAGATTTGATATCGCTTTTTCAGGTTGATAAATGAAGATCTCGATGACTGATACGAAGTTTTAAGGCTCATTTACACGGGCGATTCGCAGCGATTTGAAATGCGTTTTTTGCTTTAATTTCTGGTCATATCGTCAAGATTGCTAAAGGATTAACTGGTAAAGTTATCCCAACACCAAGATTACCTGGACAACAAGAAGAAACACAAGACAARAGCTTAAATTTTCGAAAATCGCACCTCAAAACGTCGCAACAATCGCTCGTGTAAACGAGCCTTAAGGAATTGCATAACCATTATATTGGAAAATTAATTGGGGTGGGATCACTGATTAAAAAATCGTGGGAGAGGAATATTAAAGGACCTGTCAGTAGATAAAGTGCGATGAAGAACCTATAAGTACCCAACTAATTAGGCCCCGTCCTCACTATGACGGATAAGTTTGAATCCGAATTTTTATTTATTCGGTTAGGCCTACCGTCCACACTAGTCCGTGCGAATCCGGAACAATTCTTCACCGAAAACGATTTTTTTCGAATACGGTCTCCAGAGTGGAACAATTTGAAAACGCCGGCTAGCCGTATTATTGTGGACGGAAAACATTTCGTATCCGAATTTTTTCGAATACGATGGCGTCATGATTGTCATGGGAACATGGCGGGAAGGCCAAAAATTCGCTGCGGGCACAATCAGTCAGCTTTGATGCACATGCTCAGATGTGCAATGAAGCGTTTTTGCCGCCTCTGATCGGACAAGTGTGGACGCGAAACATTTTATACGTTTTCATGCAGTGTGGACGGAAATTTTTTTTTCGGTTTCGGTTTGTGAAAGTTGCGGATTCAAATTTATCCGGCATAGTGTGGACGGGTCCTTAGTGTTAAAAATGTACTAATTAGAAAACACAGCATTTTGCATTATTCAATGCTAATTAGATCTTATACTTTTTCATCCTGGGTAAACCAGGAGTGAACTGATTCTAATGCCTTATTTCACTGGTTCGATGTTTGCGCACGCAACGTGCAAAAGGATCGGAACATCTTTCGTGCACCTGTTCATAAGACTATTCTCACGACTTGATAAGATCTAGAGTTCCTCATTCCTAATTAATCACATAATCTTGCTAATGGTCCATCGTACGCGACAAGAGGAAGATCGTGAGGGGATCGTGAGCTCTAGTAAAACGTTGTCTGGATAAAGTTGGCCATATGGTAGCCAGATAATTTAGATGGCTATAGTTAGATGTCTTTATAATTAGACACTTGGGGTACGAAGAAACGGAAATCTTAGCTGAAATAGTATGTCAATGACACGTATGGCATAATTAATCGATCAATTATGAGTCAAGTTACCCCTATTTATAATTGCTATAGTTGATTGCTTAGTAATGTTAGACACATGGTCAACTTGTGAAACATTAGTCGCATATAGATGACGATGTAGATGTATGATAAAGAGCCTTGTGTATAGGATAGGGTGCTGATGGTGAGGGAATCAAGGTGACAGATGGTATATAGACTATGACGATGTAGATGTTTGATAAAGAACCTTGTGTATAGGATAGGGTGCTGATGGTGAGGGAATCAAGGTGACAGATGGTGTATAGACTATGACGATGTAGATGTATGATAAAGAACCTTGTGTATAGGATAGGGTGCTGATGGTGAGGGAATCAAGGGGTGGACTAGCGATACCTCTGAGGACTCATGTTCCATTCCTTTTCCATCCTTCCTTCGATGATTTTTCTCCAGTTTCTCCTGTCTTCGTTCCTCCGCAAAACCACTCAAAAATCCGCATTTCATCTGCCCTATGTGAGTTAGCCGTATACGCTGACTTACATCATCCCAGAGGTTGTTTTAGGGTTAAATCTGTGAATTAGCCGTACTCTGACTTAAATCAGACCAGAGGTTGTTTCTGGGTTAAATCTGTGAATTAGCCGTACTCTGACTTAAATNTAGCCGTACTCTGACTTAAATCAGACCAGAGGTTGTTTCTGGGTTAAATCTGTGAATTAGCCGTACTCTGACTTAAATCAGACCAGAGGTTGTTTTAGGGCTCAGGTTTCAGGGGAGTAATTTTAGCCATGCCCTGACTTAGATCAGCTCAGAAGTAAAAGTTGTTTCAAGTCATCGTTATCGATAAATTTGAAATACTGCCGAATTCCCCCCCACCAGATGCCCCCCCCCCCCTTTTACCAGCATCCTTTCCTTTACTCTTAACATAAATAAATAAATTTTGACCTCCTATTTTTCATGATAGTTCCAGGAGGAAGAATGGACAAAGTTGGTGGAAAAGATCAGAAGAAAACGAGGGCTGAAAATTCAATCAACTTTGCTGTGACTGACAACTGAAACATGCAAGTCAAGTAGYTTTGAGACTCGTCCTGCTGAAGAGAGAAAAACTGAAAAATGACTCATATAGGAAAGATGTATAGTAAAAGCAAAAGCAGGGGGGCAGAAAAAAGAAAGGAAAGAAGGAAGGTAGAACACAGGTAGCCCAAGCTTGGTTTCTGTGGTGTCATGTCGGTTATAAGAAAATGTATGGGGATTCTTCAAAAATTTCAATAAAATCATTGAAACGTGAAATAAAGCCTCGAAATTTTACCCGATCATTGAGAAATAGCACTTCTTTCGCTCTGCGTTTTTGGAAAACATCCTTAAAACGGACTAAATTCGAAAAATAACCACACAAAGCAAAAGAGGTGCTATTTCTCAATGATCGGATAAAATTTCGAGGCTTTATTTCACGTTTCAATGATTTTATTGAAATTTTTGATGAATCCCCTTACATTTCCTTATAACACTACACCACAGAAACCAAGCTTGGGCTACCTGTGGGTAGGAAAGGGATTGCCTGTGGCTGCTCTGTCTACGGTCACAGTAATGCATGCAGATATCCAGTCAGTCTCACTATTCAACACTATAGTTGCATTGAAGCTAGAAAGCCCAAGCTATATTTTGCGTTTACTACAGTTTCGAGTTCTCTTTTGTTCGGCCTTAGCCTCGGTTGTGTGTTACTAATATTCAGTCATTCAATCAAATGAACCCGTGCCGGGAATATTTGACTCAACTTGAACTTTTTCATATTAATCACCTTAATAAAGTGAGAGTATTACTTATAATAAATGTGTATGTTCGCTACTTTAAATATCGTTAATTACTCATAAATGGCAATTTCTGATTTTGACTCATTTCGCACCCTGATCAAAATCCTTTAACCGTCTTCTTTCTTTCTTTCTTTCTTTCTTTCTTTCTTTCTTTCTTTCTTGTTTCACAATTTGACATGGAGGTCTGGCTCTAGCTCAGAAACCCCACCAAAGCGAGGCTATCTTCCCTTCCAAGATGGCCGCCGTGTTGGTTCAGCGAAACTACCAGACTCACCAACAAAAACCTAACAAAAACACAGAAATGACTCATTACAGACCCCAATAATAATACAGCAAAAACTACAAAATGTCCAGGCATAGAAATGTTAGAAATTATGCCTACGAAGATGGTAAGGAAGGGTACATTTTAACGAAATAATGTAGTTAGGTCTAAAACTTGTACACCTTGTGAATAGCGCTTCTCGTACAAATTTTAGTTATTTTAAGGCTCTTATCCAAATCTTTAAATCGTTTTTGATGTTTATTTATTTTCCTGGCTATTGATTTTTATGGTATTTTGGTATTTTAAGCTTTAAACTAGAATTTTTAGCTGTAATGCAAGAGTTTTTGTTTTTCTCTTTTAGCTTCATTTTCAGATTTCTCAGAGCTTTTTTCATTCAAACTTACTCGTATTTTGTATTCCTTGTTCATAGTAAACAGTTAACTGTTATCATTAGTCTGATTAAATTTTATTCATAAACGTTTTGTCATAATTTTATTTGATACATTTCTTCTGCGAAAAAGCATGTTGTGTATTTATTTTTGGACGTTATTAATTATGAATAAGATAATAACAAAGATTCGATGAATATCGTTTAGGAATAGTATTTTTCCTTGTTGTTGGTGAGAAACATTTTGTTTTACAAAAGATGATAGCAAATACATGGAAACCTTAGCAGTGACAAACAATGCATTGAACACCTAGATTCCAAGTCACGTAGTTGTCATGCTTACCCTTTAGTATCATTTTACTCTTTTTATTTCCCCCCAGAAATGTCAGAGGATGTATATGGGCATTCTGTGGAAGAGCATGATATGTGTGTGTCACCTTCTACTGGTAAGAAGAAAATGAACATGGGGGACATAAAAGAACCTGTTGAATTATTGGAATTATTTATATGGGAAGCGCTCGCCTCTCAACAATGCGACCCAGGTTCAAGACCTGCTGTGCTTGGTGTCGTATGTGAGTAGGGTTGCTTGTTGGTTCTCTCCTGTGCTTTGAAAATTTTCCGGGTTCTCTGGTTTTCCTCCCTCCACGAAAATCAGCTTCTAAATTCCAATTGAAAACACCAAACTTTTCAACAGCACATGCATGTGAAATGTCACGGAAATGCCTTGATTGACCAAATCCATTGTTTTCCCTTTTCAGACCACATGTCATTCCCTATAGTATCATTTCTTTGTTTAACAGTTATGTATGCGAAGAGACATGAATATGAATACCACTCAAAAAAAGAAATCTATTTTCAAGAGAATGACACGTTGTCTGAAATGGGCAAAATATTGTGCCCAAGTGGATTAGGTCCATTGACATCCACCAAAACCTACTTGATTCTTACCATAATTCCATACTTGCTATTGAGAACTACTACTGTAGTAATAATAAATATAAATTAAATGGATGGTATTTCCCAATTCAATTTCAGCCCAGCAGTTCATGTATAACCGTGGTAATGATAACGAACAGTCCAACCTATTCAGTAACTACATGAGTGGTAGGTTTGGAAGTGTTGAGGAAGAAGAAGAGGAAGAGCAGTTGGAGGAAGAAGATCATCTTAGTAACTCCCAAGATTATAGACGACCACAGTTAGATCCTATAAGTGAAGGTATGATGTTCTTTATTTTTTATTTTATTAATGAGGCCCCGTCCACACTATGCCGGATAAATTTGAACCTGCAACTTTCACACCGAAAAAAAAGTTTTCCGTCCACACATGAAAATGGAGAAAATTTTTCCCGTCCACACTAGTCTGATCAGAGGCGGCAAAAACRCTTCATTGCACATCTGAGCATGTGCATCGAAGCTGAAATTGAGCCTGCGGTGAATTTTTAGCCTCTCTGCCATGTTCCCATGACAATCATGATGTCATTGTATTTGAAAATTTTGGATATTTTCAAATTGTTCCACTCTGGGGACTGTATTCGAAAAAATTCATTTTCGGTGAAGAATTTTTCTGGATTCTCCCGGACTAGTGTGGACGTAGGCCAAACCAACTGAATAAAAATTTGGATTCAAATTTATCTGGCATAGTGTGGCCGGGCCTGAGATAATTTTGATTTTCATATTGAGATTTTCCAGACCAAATTATTTGTATTTTTTCCCACAGCCAAACTGTCGTCATGTCTGGATCAACTACAATCTATCTTGGGTGATGACTGCCATGAGCCAACGGCTGTAGATGCCATACTCAAATTTAACTTTGATGCCGAGAGGGCTTTGGATTATATATTTTCTAAAGGTATCACTGACAATACATACTTGACGTATATTAGCCCACCTTGATAATGTGGTTCCATACAGTATATGGATGCAATATATATACAAAACAATGACACCCTAGTCATCTTATCATAACTGTATTATACTGATCTGAGTTGGTGTCTATAATGATGCCTTTGTGAGACTCTTTTGTATTGTTTCACTGGTCTGCTATTATTGCAGGGTATGATGGAAGGTAATAATCAATATGTCATATCCATTTACTCATTTTTTATTATTACATTAATTTAATAAGTTCATTTTATTATTCGTTTGTTCATTCATTTTTTATTTCTGGCAATTGGTGATATGTGATTTTTACCAATTCTTATTATTTCATTCCCTTTTATTCATTTATTAACATTGTCATAATATTATGCTTTTGTTTATTATGATGGGATGATATTTAATCATTTCTATTATTTCATTCTTATTTGTTCATTATTTYGTTCATTCATTTGTTCCTTTGTTCGTTCATTCATGCATTTATTCACATCATCCTTATTTATTATATTTCAATTAGTATATGTAATAGGACTCCATGCTGTCCAATTAAAAAATAATTGGAAGATGAAAATTCCAAGGACTGACAAAATTGGATGAGGCCGTAGTCCGAGTCCAATTTGGCAGTCGGAGGAATTTTTCAAGTCTAATTATTTCTTGATTGGGGAGCATGAAATCCCATTACCTATTAATTATATAGCTGCCTAATTAATCCCATATCAACAAGACCTGTCCAATTAAGAAAATAATTGGACAGTTACCTATATGGGATTAATGAGAAGCTGTATAATTAAATGACATACTACCTAATGGAAGTTATTAAGTTCTTAATGGAAGTTATGCATGAAGCCCTAGGGCAATAAAGACTGAAAGAAAGTATTCCTTTTTCTTTTATTTTGAAGAAAACAAGAAAGAGAGCAGCCAGAAGAAGACACCCAAAAAACAAGGTCAGTATAATAAAGAAATCAGGTGTGTTGTTTACTGGTTTGAGACAACATGTCATTTCCTTGAGCAGGGCTTAAAATAAAGGCCAGGCATTGGACAAGGTCTGCCTAGAATTGTAACTCGTGCAGTCAAATATTTGCCTTGCTGGTCATTTTGACCAGTAACGTTGACCCAGAAATGAGGTATGACTGAGCTAAAACTAGTTCGGCCAGTCATCATGACCAGCGAAATTTGTCCAGCGACATGAGCGGCAGTTTCATTGGCAGTTTTATTGCAAGCAGAAATCGCACATGTAAAAAGTCTGAGATTTTCGGTGTAATAAAATCACTGCGAAGTTGCACTACATTTCAAGCATGTTCAAAATTGCAGCAATAAAATTGCAAGTGACTCATGTCATGCGACAAAATTGCTAGTGTAATCTAGCCTATAGAAAAGTTTTTCCTTTGGGAAGTGAAATCTCTTGTCATTCACAAAAATCACATCCATCTCCTTAAACATGGCTGCCATGAAAAATTGCAAAAGGAAAAAAAAAAAAAACCAGTTGCTCTTTTAAATGAAATACTGAAACAAAATATTAAGACCAAATATTGAACTAACAACAAAAGTCTAATTTAATGCCTTTGTTATCCTTCCTTTTCATGTTCTCTTCTCGTYATTTATTTTCTATGGCAACAATAAGGTAAGATGCTAATTTGTATAAAAAATTGTTAAAGAAAAATATAGCAACAAAGTCTGTAAACAACCAGAGAGAAGCAAAAATAGGTGGCTTGCAGCATGCTAAAACAAATTGTCAGAGTAATGAATATAACAATTGTATATCTGATGGAAGCTCTCTGCTCTCTATGCCTCTAAGTAGTATCATGATAGAGGGTAGAGAGAACTCTATTAATGAGGTAAAGGCTGCTAATACATCAAAGAATCAGTTGCCTTTTATGCCTCTTGGAAGTGTTCTGGCTGGAAGCCACCAGGCAGAAGAACAAACAGCAAAAGAAAAGCTTTTTCAGGAGTCTTGCTTTACTCTGAGCAGCCTGTGTGACAAAATTGGTTCTGGAGGTATGTCGTCCTCTACATCTTTGTCTGGCCTAGCCAAGCATCATGACGAATCTACCAGACCAAAACCTGTTGGTTTACGTGGGATTTCCCTCCAAGAATTAGCAAATCAGACGTCATCTCCTCTTACGAATAAGAGTCATTCATCTAATGAACCTGTAGATATGTTGACCTCTACATCTTTGTCTGGCCTAGCTGAGCAACATGATGAATCTGTCAGACCAAAATCTGTTGGTTTACCTGGGATTTCTCTCCAAGAATTAGCAAATCAGATGCCATTATCTACCACAAAGATGAGTCATTCATCTAATGAACCTGTAGATATGTTGACCTCTACATCTTTGTCTGGCCTAGCCAAGCAACATAATGCATCTACCAGATCAAAACCTGTTGGTTTACATGGGATTTCTCTCCAAGAATTAGCAAATCAGATGCCATTATCTACCACAAAGATGAGTCATTCATCTAATGAATCTGTAGATATGTTGACCTCTACATCTTTGTCTGGCCTAGCCAAGCTACATGACGAATCTACCAGACCAAAACCTGTTGGTTTACATGGGATTTCTCTCCAAGAATTAGCAAATCAGATGACATTATCTACCACAAAGATGAGTCATTCATCTAATGAACCTGTAGATATGTTGACCTCTACATCTTTGTCTGGCCTAGCCAAGCTACATGACAAATCTACCAGACCAAAACCTGTTGGTTTACCTGGGATTTCTCTCCAGGAATTAGCAAACCAGATGTCATCTCCTCTTACGAATATGAGTCAGTCATCGAATGAACCTAAAGACATGTTGGCTTTGACATCATTATCTAGTTTGGCCAAGCGGCATGATGAATCTACCAAAGAAAAACCAAAGGTTCAACCTGGAATTTCTCTCCAGGAATTAGCCAAGCAAAAGCCCCCTGACTACCCAAATCAAGACAGACAGTTCCCAACAACTAGTCATAACGCAATGGATGTAGATATGTCTAGTCTTGTTGGTAGGGAACCTCAGGGGAACACCAATAGAGCGCTCACATTTGATCAAAATACTCAAGGATCGACCAAAGACAGGCTCTTTACAACATCATTGTCTGGTCTTGCATCTTTGTCATTAGATTCAAACACCTCTAAGAAGAGTSTGAAAACCTCAGGAATGAACCATGGGCCATCAGGGAAGAATATCTCTGCAGCATCTGTGTCAAGTATTCTTTCAGATGGTCGCAATTCAAGGCATGGGATTGATTCCTTGGAGCAATCACTTTTGTACACAAAACAAGATAAGAAACAAGTACAAGGCTCTAGATGTGAAGAAAAGTTTAAGAAAGTTATTCCCAAGTCTATGAAGAAGAAGAGGACCCACAAAATATCCAAGAGTTCTTTGATGTTAATGCACCCAAGCTTGTTTGCTCAGACTCTATGCTATGAAACCAAAAGAAAGCACTCTATTCCAGATCATTTGAAGTCCAAGAAATTATGCACTTCAGGATACCATATTAACAGCGAAGTAACAGCTTTTCACTTTTCGTCGCCTTCACCAGATGACATCATCAAGATGAAACAACAGCAAAGATTTGGAGTTGAACAGAAAGCATAAAACATGTTTGAAATTTTTTAAATAAATTTTTCTTCCTAACATAAGGATAGCATCCAGGGGGGTGGATAAGGTGGCTGGCCATGGCCACACCCTTTGGAATTTTGTATTAACCACTGTCTGGTTTAAGAAAATAATTTTGAAGACTTTATTTTATTAAGATATTTAGAAAGTAAATGATTTGTAGAAAGTCAGAGCATTTAAGTGATGTCAGCAGTTCCTTCAGTTCAATCATTGGGAACATTATTCACTTTATTTTAGCGATTTTTGTAAGCAGTTGGACCCGGAAATACGTCATGATTTAAAATCTCTATTGTGATTGGATATTACATAATTGGATATCGGATCATTCAAAGGCAAGAGATTTTTTGTACAGCCCGAGTGTCGATCCATCCTTTTTATATTTCTATTAGTACTATTAATTGTAAGTACCATTTCATGATATAAGATGTACATATTATATGTACATGTTATAGTATGTAAATTCACAAACCAAGGCAATAAAATTGTATCTATATATGGCATAGTGTATATATAAACTTTGTGGACCATTTTGGCTTGGTCGTAGACCATTTACCATAGCCGTGCCATATTTTACAGTAGCCTTAAACTACGATTGGATTAATTGCTGGACGACAATAGGAAGCAATTTTACGGCATTCCGTACTGTGTACTTGTTGTAAGCGCCGGTACGGTGGATATGGAGGTAGAGTTGGTGTAGCGTACGGCGGAGATGGAGATAGGGATTTGGAGGGGATGGGAGGGATGGGATAGGAGAGATAGGGAGATGGGATGAGATTGGATGATTTTGAGTCACAAACCAAGGCAATAAAATTGTATCTACTTATAGCGTAGTGTATGTATAAACTTTGTGGACCATTTTGGCTTGGTCGTAGACCAATTACCATAGCCGTGCCATATTTTACTGTAACCTTAAACTACGATTGGATCAACTACTGGACAACAATAGGAAGCAATTTTACGGCATTAAGTACTGTGTACTTGTCGTAAACCCCGGTACGGCGGAGATGGAGTTAGAGATGAGAGGGGATGGGATAGAAGAGATAGGGAGATGGGATGAGATGGATGGGAAAATATTAAGATAAAATAGTGACTGATGAGTGGGATGACAGCCAAAGGTGACTCGTATCTAAATCTTATGAAAATCAGACACAGCTAGTTATGTACCGCCCGACAGCACCACAGCTCGACCACGAGTACCTGAGCAGCCAGTCACGGTAGCAGCGGCAGCCGCCAGTAATTTACCAGACTTTTTCAGCAAGAATGTAGTCTCCAGACTAAATCACAGCAGTAGTGCCAGTAGTACGAAACGTAGCCAGTCGTCTAATGTGGTGATTGGATTTTCTACTCCCGTATCACCAAAGAGTAGATCCTCTTCAAGGTATGTTGATGATGGTGATGGTGAAGGTGGTGATGGTGGTAGTGATGGCGATGGCGATGGCGATGGCGATGGCGATGGCGATGGCGATGGCGATGGCGATGGCGATGGCGATGGCGATGGCGATGGTGATGGTGATGATAATGGTGATGATGATGGTGATGATAATATTGATGATAATGTTGATGATGATGGTGATGATAATAATGATGATGATGATGAAAATGATGATGATGATAATGATGATAATGGTGATGATGATGAGGATNTTTATTACGGGCGCCAAGATGGCGGACGAGAAGATAGTTTTCGTAACCGTTATAAGGATTCTATTGCAGAGGACATTCGTAGAGCTTCATTGGTAATCAGCCATGCAGGTCAGATATGTGTTCATCATGATGAAAATGATGATAATGGTGATAATGATAATGATGGTGATGATAATGGTGATGATGATGATGATGATATGATGTTGATAAAACTAATTCAAATACAAAACCCAAACAAGTTGTCCAACGGAAAAGTGCTATCCATTAGATAAAGTAATATGATAAAATCCGGTGGATAGTGCTTATCCAGGCTTCGTACGAATGCGCTGTTACCAACGTTAAATGCTTTTTATTTACTGTAGTTCGCCAGATAATACGCAGACTGCATCTGAAGTTGATGCGTTTAAGTCACCCGAGCAACAAAAAGCCAAACCAGCAAAACAGGTTGGTGTCCCCAGTCCTAATCCATTTATTCAGCATTCCAATTTGAGGAAAAAACTGACTAGGTCGAGTTGGATTGCTTTAGGGACATATTTCGAAGATATCGTATTTCGACCCAGTTTTTAGTCCTCCTAATGCCTATGACCTCAGAATAGCTAATAGAGACCTTATAAGGAGATCATGACATCCTCCAGTGTCGGCACCTTGCTCCCCTCGGGACTCTTATAATCACTAATAACACCCAGGGATTAGTGAAAGTAAAAGGTTGTTTGTATTAGCAGGGCCGTGTCATAATGGTGGGGTGTCCATATTAGCAGGGCCCTGTTATAATAGCGGGGTGTCCGTATTGGGGGCAATATCCTCCATATCAGACTTGCAACTAACCCCTGCTTTTGGCCAAATTCACGTCAACTTTAAACAGTAACCAAGGGTAATAGAGAGACTCATTTATTCCTAGCTCTACCCTACCATGTACTATTCTTTTAGCAATAGTCCCGTTCACAGTTCCCTGCGCCATCTTGCAATGATAGAGACCTTTTTTTAACACCTTGAACAATTATTCACACGTGTCTATTATTGCGAGCTCACTGTTCATCTCACTTCAATGCAAAGGCACGGCTACCTTTCGAGATGGCGTAGGGAACTGTGAACGGGACTATTGTTTCGCTAACACTTCTTATTGTTTCCCAGATCGACGCACAAGCAGAATATGAAAAACGCCAGCAGGGCAAAGACTTATTAAACCTCGTAGTAATCGGTGAGTGTAGTCGTGAGTGTATCAGTTACTTTATATCAGCAGTTTTGGCAGAGTTTTACCACAGGCAGCCCAATCTCTTGTTCATCTAATCCATTGTACTCTTTATATCTTGCAGGTCATGTTGATGCTGGTAAAAGTACACTAATGGGTCATATGTTGTTCTTACTGGGTGATGTTTCTAAGAAAGCTATGCATAAGTATCCTAACCTCCAGAAAAACCTTCTTATTATCCATTCTAAATATAAAAACGCTTAATTCAAATCCAATCCAATATTGGCTTGTAAACAACTAAAATTATAATATGTCAAGGTTTCTCATCACTGCACATTTATGTTACTACTGTTTTCATTGCTATTAGCTGAACAATCTCGACCGTTAAAAGTAGGTTCCCATATACCTTTACGCACATTGTATTTGATCAATACTCACTCGCTCACCACCTAGAACGTAATGACCGACAAAATGGAGGACAATAAACACTTCTTGGTGTTTTAGTAGTAGAATATTGTAATATGATTCTTAATCAAGCCAAGATATGAAACTGAATCCAAGAAGGCTGGTAAAGCATCATTTGCATATGCCTGGGTGTTGGATGAAACAGGAGAAGAAAGGGAAAGGTAGGTTTGAACCAGTACATCATGCTTACCATGGTGATGGCTGATCATGAATGATGATAGTTGATAAAGATTCTGATGCTGATGCTGCTGATTGTGATGATGATGCTGCTGATGATGATGGTGATGATGTTGTTGCTGCTGCTGCTTATGTTGCAGATGTTACTGATGATGATGGGGATGATGATGATGTTGCTGCTGCTGATGTTGAAGATGTTACTGATGATGATGATGCTGATGATGATGATGTTTCTGTTGTACATGTTCATGATGCAGCTCCAGAAACAGCTGATGATTATGATATTTTATTCATTACTTTATGATAATGAGTCGATAATCATGTTGGTTATTCTGTTACTGCTCTTGATGGCAATAATGATGATGACTAAAAATGATAAGAATGCTTCTTTTTGCAATCAGGATGGTTGATAAAGCCATCAAAATCAGCTAAAAGAAAGTGTTTATTTGTCGTTTTTAAGGGGCATCACGATGGACGTCGGCCTAACACGGTTCGCCACCAAGTCTAAAGTCATTACTCTGATGGATGCTCCTGGACATAAGGATTTTATACCCAATATGATTACAGGCGCAGCACAGGTACTCACAATACATCCATGCCTTAACACCTGAATGGGTTTTTGGTATGAATAGAGGGAACCCATGGTGCTGACTTGCAGCAATTACAGTATATGCATGCCCTAATATTTAAATGGCTATCCATATGAATGGTTTTTAATGGAGCAACTTACGGTACTGACTTTGCAGTATGTACAAGCTACGCAGTATGCCGTAGCATTCAAATGGCTTCCTGTACGAATGCTTATTGGTATAAATGGAGAAACCTTGACCCGAGTTGCAATATGCACATTGTGTATGCCACAACAATGAAATGGCTTCCTATACGAATGCTTATTGGTATGAATGAAGAAACCTTGAACTGAATTGCAACATGCACATTGTGTATGCCACAACATTGAAATGGCTTCCCATAAGAATGTTTTTTTTTTTTTGTAGGGTGCCATACAATTTCAAAATTCCTTACATTTCCAGGGATTTGTTAAAAAGGTGTTGGTTTCCCCTTCAATATTAATCTTTTCTTTTCTGTTTCAGGCTGATGTTGCAATCCTGGTAGTAGATTCTAGTACAGGAGAGTTTGAGGCAGGTTTCGAGGCTGGGGGTCAGACCAGAGAACACGCGCTATTGGTCAGGTCTCTAGGCGTCACACAGATCGTAGTCGCTGTCAACAAACTCGACAACGTAAGATAAAACTTCAGTAATTCATTGAATCTTAAGACCTTTAAATTTTATCGCTACCTGAAACAACCTCTGGGCTGATATAAGTCAGGGCACATCTAACTCACAGATCAAATTGGAATTAAGCTTGTTAGGTTTCGTGGAGGTAAGAAAACCAGAAAACCTGGAGTAAAACTCTGGAAGCAAGGGAAAGTTTAGAACCTAGCGGTGAGAGGTGAACGCACTACCGCTACGCCTTCTCGCGAGGAAATTGAGGGTATTACTCACACCTCTCACCTCAGGAGTCTTGAGTTCGATTCCTGGACTAAGTATCTCATGTGAGTAGATGTGAGTAGAGTTTGAATGCAACTTGCACCTTGACTCCTCCACAGGCTACTCTCGGTCTTGAACAACACAGGACTCCCAAAAAGGTAAAGTGATCCATTGATACAAAGACACCATTTGGTCTTACCGTGATTAATGTTTTGCTGTTTCAGGTGGATTGGAGCGAAGAACGATATTTATACATTGTGGGAAAGCTAAGACTGTTTCTTAAACAAGTTGGATTTAAGGTACGACCAAGTAGAGAACACTAAGATAATCTTTAAGCTTGGGCGTAATGTTTTTCCATTTCAGTCAACGTGTCATTCCCTTGAGTATTAATTCTTTGTTTAACGGTTGTGAAGAAGGGAAGGCACGTATGGATACAACTCAAACAAAGAGTCTTATTCTCAAGAGGGTGACACGTCGTCTGAAGTCGGAAAACATTATGCCTTAGCTTAAAAGATCTATTTAGATCGAATCCCCCTATTCCTCTTGGCCAATGTTTGAGGTTGGCTTTTGTTAATTTGATCAAGAGAGAAATACTAGTGACTCTAACCCCGTGGGAGAGGCTAGGGGGTGGAGGACCTCACCCCTCATCCCTCGGGGTTCTATATTCATTTYCAGTGAGCTTGAATCGCTTACCTCCCATCGCTCCCTCTCCTCTCCTCTCCTCTCTCCATTCCCCCTCGTCTCCCCCTCCACAGGAACCCACACCTCCCCCTCCCCCCAATTTCCCAATTTGGGCCGCTACGCAGGCTAGCATCCTTCGACCCAAACAACCTTCTATGAAATAGGTGTATAAATAGAAGCTTGAGGATTGGATCTAACAATGTTTTCACTTGAAGGATTCTGATGTAGGGTACGTGCCGTGCAGTGGTCTATCGGGTGAGAATCTCGTCAAGCAATGTACAGAAGACAAGCTGAAAAAATGGTACAAGGGGCCTTGTCTCTTAGACAGGATAGGTACGTGATCAAAAAAGACGTGCCAAGGGGAAAAAATTATTATTATTATTCCTAAAGGACGATTCACACGCAACATGCTTGCGCCAAGTTTTATCTGTCATTTAAGGTCGTTATTGTTCGATTTATTGTTCGACAGGTGTGAGAAAAAATGTACTGTGTAAATCATATAGTTTAAGGAAGTCTATCAGAAAAAGGGATTTTAAAATGGCTGAAAGACAGGTTTTCGTGGTTCAACTGAAAGCAAAAGAGTCAGTCACCGTGACTTCTCAGAACGCATGAGCAGGACCCGAAATACGAAAAACTTATTTTTTTGTTATGTTTTTATTGACAGACGATTTCAAACCTCCTAAACGAGACATGGATAAGCCATGGCGATTCTGTGTATCAGATGTCTATAAAGGTAAGTCACTTGTTCACAGGAAGCCCAAACTATGGGCCGCCTCTCGGCAATGCGACTCGGGTTCAATTCCCTTGTTTAGTGTCGAATCGGAGAAGAGTTACTCCTTGTTTTCTTGTGCTTCGAGGGTTTTTCTCTGAATTCTCTGGTTTTTCCTCATTCCCCMAAAAAACTTTAAAATTGCAATTCGATTTGGTGTTGCAAACATAAAATACAAGAAGACTGAGCAATTACTCAAGGAAATTAAGTCCCTCTAAACACAACTGTGCATAGGCTAATCAGTCTCATTGAAGTTTATTTGACCCCTCATATTATGTTGTTTCTAAGATCTGGAGCAGGGATAATCCAGAATCGGGCTCCCTGTGTATAGGGTAATAAGTATTCAACGCTAAAGCCTTTATTTTACGCCTTATGTTGTATTCTCTAGGACTGGGAGCAGGGATTAACCTAGCCGGGAAGATGGTAGCTGGCAGTGTTCAGAATGGCAATAGGGCGCTAGTTATGCCAGTAGGAGTAAAGGGAATGGTTAAAGGTTAGTACATTTGCAATTYACATAAATGATCATTATTATTAGAGCGCTTTCCATATTTCTGCGCCGCCAGAAATTCCAGACGCGGCGCAGAAGTATGAAAGCAAGGAATAGAAGCTCGAAAAGCGCTCACTTAATCTTCGGAAGACTACCTTTTTCATTTTATTGGGGGTGGGGGCTGAGAGATTCGTTCTAATATCTTTTTAAATGGTTGTAGTCTTCCCCTTTTCACTCATAAGTTATTTTGTCAAAAAAAGGTAGACCCCCAAAAATAGTTTTATAGTTTTTCATAGTTTTTTACCGATTACCCTCCCTTCCGAAGACCCAGCGCCCCCTCACTCTAATGAAAAAAGGACCCTCCCTTAGTCTTTACGGCTAGCAGGGAAAGTATACCCTCTAGATGAATCAATGAATACATCCCCTGTATCTCTAATAGACCTTCCCTTCTTATTCTCTTGTCCAAACACCTCGTTCCTAGACGTCAAATCAGTAACAGTCTTGTAGAACGACTTGGTATTCGTCCATTCAGACGACAACTCCATTTCGCTGAGAGTCCCACACGAGTAGGATTTTTTGAGCCCTACTCCTTCTATTTCTAGCCAGTCGTTTGAGTTTTTGTTCTCGTTGTCTTGTAGATATGAGATCCTTTTTATCGGTTGTTTTGCCGGTTTGCGATAGCTTGTTGCTATTTGATCTTTATATTTTTCGAAGAGAGCTGGTAATGTTTGCTTTATTGATAGTCCTGTTAAGATAGAAAGTCAGATGAAATGTTTATTTTGAGGTATACATTTCTGCTTGATTCTAAGGGTTTTGACGGGAAAATAACGCGGCGCTCTTATTTTTCCCTTTCGCGCCAAAAACTGCAAACTTGTCAAAAATGGATTTAACGAAATTCAAGTCTGTTCATATTTAGGTTTCTGTGCTCATAAAAAAGGTATGAGCCTGAGAAAACAGACGTACTTTCGTATAGAAGAAATGAAAGGAGAGAGGAAGCAAGAAAAGAAGGATTGAAGGAAGGAAAGGAGGGAGAAAGGGACGGAGGGGGAAAGGAAAAATCCAATAAGAAATGTTTTCTTGTTACCTGTTGTACTGGCAATGCTGCTATTCGAGGATAACGAAGTTTTGCTGTCTTTTTTCTTTGGTTTCGCCACCTTCAGTGGAACATTGACAAGGTTCTTGCATAACTCTGGAAACTTCAATCTGAAATTCAATATGTTAACTAAGCATGATCATTTCACAATTCATTTCTCTACTCAGAATAACTAATGATAAGAAAATATTCTCATCATTCTCTTTATTTTGATATTTTGTCATTGCATTTTTCATCATCATCAGCAGCAGCAGCAGCAGCAGCATCAGTCATCAATCCGCATATCATCCATCTTCATCATGTATCGTAATTATAATCCTTAGCATCAAATCAGCAACATCATCAACGGCATTGCTAACAACATTTTCATTATCTCCATACCAGTCATTATCATCACCACAATTCATTATGAACGCCATTAACATCTTTATCCTCATCACTACCACCAACGTTATAATCATCACCACCACAGGAACGAATTAGGATCTTAAGCAAGACAGGAAGAGGGGATGCGTACGTCTCACATGGAGTGAATCTTGCCTAGATCTACCGTAACATTATCGTTACCACGCATCATAATGAAAGGCATACCTAAATTGTGCTGATACATCGATTCCCCTCGTTTCCACATCCGCATTTCTCCACTCGTTTACCGTCCTGAACTCTCTCCTATCTCTTATCGTGTCACTAGCCTTCCCGCTCTCGCGAAGAATTCTCTCACACCTGTCATGTCCATATTTGACAGCTAACATCATGGCTGTCTCACCGTGATCATTTACCCTGTCGACTCCAATCCCATACTTTCGCATCTCTTTGACTAGTCTAGTTACCAGTGACGTATTTCCGGCGGAAGCTGCGTAATGCAATGGTGTGTTTCCTTCACAATCAGCTTCAAAGTAATCCACTTCGCGTTCCTTTAGAATCAGCCTAACCAGCGGTAATCGCTGTTTGACGCATGCGTAATAGAATACTGTAAAGCCTTGGTCGTTTTTACACTGAACATGCGCACCAAAGTCTAGAAGGATTTGTGCATATCGAGTCGCTAGTGATTGGTTCTCAATATCACAGACTAAGTGCAGTGGAGTGCGCATGCGTGAGTCTCTTTGATTGACATTAACTCCATTGGTCGTCAATAGCTTGATCTGGCGCGTGTGTTGCTGTTGAATGGCTTGGTGAAGTAACGACATTCTTGTCTTCCCCTAGAAATCACCTTCTGAGGTCTTTCCTGCAACAAACCGAAAAAACCACAATAACAAAAGCTCTAAAATAACGCGTGGTCTGGTCGGTGGATATGAGAAATGTTGACAGTCTGTTCATTAGGTCTTGATTATTAATTTTTTCACTTATAAACGAAGGAGGAAAACGGACGCCGTTTAGTCAATGTCATTAAAGTACTTTTCGATAATTTGCTGGGRAAAAAATACACTGTACCCCTTCTCTTGAATTTCATATCCATTTGTCTAACCATTTGTCTCAAGACAAAATTTTTTGTTTTTATATTTATTTCAATTTATTATTTACATTTTATGGCCTTCTGTTTTAAATAGTACATGTAAGACGCTTTCAAGGAACTAGTTTCTATAAGTTACTATAAGTTTCTAAAAGTTACAGTAATATTGGGAATCCTCGCTTCAAAATTTTACATTTATTTTGAATTTTTGGACTTTCCTTTCGTCTTATTTTTCCATTGTTATACTCTTGCTATCGACTGAAGATAAGATTGAACCCTCTACTCACTTTACTCGATTGGTATCGCGGTTTTTTCTCTGATTCGTGTGAGAAATAAAAAATACAATATCCTAATATATAAACTTAACTTTACTGAATTTCTAATAAAAATCCAAAATATAATAGCGTACTTAATATAACTTCTGTAATAATTATATTTATTAGATATCTGTGGGAATAGTAAGTTGATTTTTTCTTAAAGCGGTTATTAGTTTTTCACTACCAAGATATCCTCGCAAATAAATATAACTTTTTTAATCGTAGCCCAAAATTTGTCCTATAAAAATACATTATGTTTGTGATACAAGATATTATTTTTACGTCAGTTAAATAATTTTGATTTTCCTTAACATTTCTACTGTAAACAGGACTTACCTTTTCGTCTCAGGAGAGAAAAAGATGTCGTTCAGTACAAACAAACAGAATTTTACTCTCGCTTCAGTGTACCTATTTGTGGTTGTTTTCTAAAGAGAGACATAGTTTATGTACTTCATTGACACATTTTCTCGGTCATTAACTGGTCAGTCATTACAGTAGAACATAATGGTAATTAGGACAAAGCGGTTAGATGTAACACAAATAGTGAATGCGTTTTGGAGGCGCCTGACTAACAATTAAAAATTATATTTTTATAATGTTGAAAATTGAAAAAAAAAAATTATTTCTTGTTGATACTCATGTCTGTCTGTCCGTCTAGAAGGAGAGGGAAGGAGAAGAGTACTGGGGATTACAAGGGGATGTTCAAAGTAGAATTCCTGAAAGGTATCTTCTAGTTCAATTCAATAACTTTTTTTCATTTTGATTCTTTCAGCTTTGACGCTTCATGATGAGCCCAAAACCTGGGCATGCGCGGGGGATCACGTGACCTTATCTTTAGCTGGTGTGGACGCTATTCATGTTGGGTGAGAGTACTGATTTTTTTCAATCAAGCAGTCCAGAAGTCTTTGTCATGACTAAGAATGACTGGTAAATTTTGAGAGACGTGTAGAAGACACTGGAGCTTTTTTTGTGAAGGGAGTTTAAAAGAAATTTATGAATCCTAGGAAAATGTTCAAAACTGACTATTGTCGATTCAAGTGGAAATCCTGGGGGAAGGGAGTGGAGAGAAAAAAAGGATATCCTCGAACGTTGCAGGTCAAACGAATTGAGATACGGTGGTTCATTCCTTCCTTTCTCTTCCTTCCTCTTTTCATTGCTTTTTTCCTTCCTTCCTTCCTTCCTTCCTTCCTTCCTTCCTTCC